AAACATTCCCATCCACAAGCAAAAAACAAATGCTCACTGAACAGAAAACACACTGGAGAACCATCTTTTGGACTGACGTGGTTGCGATGAATATGTTTGGCGCGGACCGTTCACCGGTGGTCAAAGAGTGCCTGGACCTGACTTGGAGCCCACAACCTGTGCAAGTCCGTCCACACGCCTTTCCTTCTTGTACAGCTTGCCCCAAATGCTCTTCAGTGCATGGAAGTACGAGGCATACTATTTAATGATAGATTAATATATATTTTAACTATAACCGCACACTGACAGTAACAGTTTACTGTAAAAGATGTAAGGAGCCTGAACAGAGGCCTCGGTTGAGTTTCAAATTGGTGGGTGTCATTAGAGCATGTATTTACTGATCCTTTATTAATGGTGGATGGTGGTTGGTTATAGGTTTGTTGGCAGTATGTGTAAGAAATCACTTTTCTTTGTTATATAATATTAAATGAACAAATTCCACAATTGGTGATGATGTAATATAATGAAAAAATTGCACTTTGTGAAATTTGCAAAGAAAAAAAAGACAAACACTCGTTCAACGTTTAAGATCCCCCTTCTTCTTTTTTCTCATCAGTCTTTGTGTCTTTGACTGTCCTAATATATTAGAGCCCAAAGCTGTTCTTAAAGCAGTGTCAATTTAATGTACCTTTTGTACTAATAATTATGAAGGTTGTGGTTCATATTTATGTTTAAGGGTGCTGAGAGTGAATCACCAGAGCAGGTCGGAGGTCTTTTTGTTGTTGAGCTGACTTTGGACTGAGGTGTTTTGTTGCCTCACAAACAGTAGCAACCTGGGAATCCAATTCTGGGATTTTTTTAAATTTTATTTTTCTTTAAATTTTTTTTTTTTATCTGGTTTTCTGCTGTTGCAGAGAACTTTTTTGTTTTTGCCTGCATTTCCAAAACAACATTCCATATCGTTTGGTGGGAAAACCTTGATCATGAGGGCAAATGTTTTCTTTTTGTATCCTTTTCCAAAAGGTTTTAAAACGAGCCTCTGGTCAGTTGTAGCATGTGATTATGCTCATGCTTCACAGCCCACGGCAGCTGATGTTGACAGCTGTCAAATGAGGATCTGAAGCTGACTGTCGTATCATTAGCTCCACAAAGGGAAGTAGTTCTTCTAGAAAATATTTTTTTTTATTTTATTTTTTATTTTATTTCCACGTGTAACCTATATCAGGCTGAATAAAATGTGTTTATGTACAACAGATGGTCCTTGTGTGGTTTGTTCAAATAGTATTTTGCATTTAATTGACATAGTTTGTAGCATGTTAACTGTTGAATAAATGACTATTTTATTATTCATTATAATTGATTGCTATTTTCATAGTATTTTTTTAAAAACCAACCACTTTTGACCTGTAAATCAAAACGAATCCGTCCAGTTAGAAATGAATCAAACCTCTGCTGAATTCAACACAACTTTGCCATAATCTTATTTCAAATTGTATCTTAGGTATGTACTACTTCCTGTTATCGTTTCATAAAAAAGAAAAAATTGCTTAAATTCCAGATTTGCAAATCTGGCAGTGTCTGCAGAAATGTGCAGGACTTGGCAGTGTGTGCTTTTAAAAAGGAACGAAGCTGGACAAAAAGGAATGTTTTGCAAAACCCTTTTTCCAGTAGGTGAACAGGATGCTCTCAAGAGGTCGTGAGAAATGTATGTAAACAATCTGAGCGATGAATCATGCTTGTAATTACTCCTGTGAGTGTTTAATTGCATCATTGTGTTTCTATGACACTGAAGGCATGAGAGGATAATATAAGCTGTTCGCTTTGGTCCTTTGCACTCACTACTGTGGCGCATTCAGAGGAAATCTGTTTTGGTTTATGCTCCTAACGTTCACAAATGGAAAAGTGTGCCTTATTTAAACGAGCCATTTTATTTCTGATCCACATAGACTCCCTGAACTATCCCAAAACACTTGTAAAGCCTAGATAGAAAAGTGAAGGCCTCAACCTAGTTCAGTTTGAACTCTCAGAAATAATTTTTATTATGAGTCAGAGGTTCCTCCAAGCTGATGGTTTTAGATTTGTAAAATGTTTAGCTCTGGTTTTGTTAACCTTCATCAGCTTCAACATAATGTTTCAGCAGCTCTGAGCTGTCCAAGATAGCAGGAATATAAAAATGACAAAAGACTGACGTCCTCTGGATGACACCAGGAATTACATGAG